CGCCCCCTCTGCAGACACTCTGCTGTACTTCTCCCAAATTGTAGCTGACCCCAGATAGTGCAGCAGACAGGAGGTCGGCTTGTTTTGTTTTTGTGACCGAAATTGCGGAAAACAACTTGTGAAGTTGCGTGAAAACGCTGGTACCCTTTTTCCACTTTGATCCCCGCTATTTTTTGCCATCATGTCCCTCTGTTGTCGGACAAACTCGCCCCCACTTCCTTACTGCCTTGCCCATATCTAGACCCACAGCTTATAGCACAGACCACGCTTCAATACTGGGCATAAATCAAAAATGTCTGCATCGAGCTCACTGCGACACATTGCTGCAGGAGTATAACAGGGTTCCCGCGGGTCCTTAAAAAGTCTTAAAAGGCATTGAATTCTTCAAAATAAAACTAAGGCCTTAATTGAATTAAATCAGTCTTTCGTAGGTCTTAATTTTTAAAACATCATAAATAGGATTATTTTTATTATGATTTATTTTTGTAATCTAAATAAAACATAAAAATTGACTTTTTTATAAAAAAAAAAAACAATGGCTCGCAATTATTGGTTCCATTCCGATAGCGGAACCAATAAAAGCGTTGTTGCGGCCGCGACATTTGGGAGATATACCATTTACTTTTTGTCTGGAAAGTATGAGCAAGTGTAAATGTAACAAAAATTGGTTATCCAGCCAAGAGTTTTCTCCATGGCTAAAACCAGTACCAGGGAACATACATGAGGCACAGTGTATTTTGTGCAAGAAGTCATTCAAGAACGGAACGATGGGAATTAAGGCAGTGGAGTCACATGCGAAGCGTGAAACACAAAGCGTCAACATCGAGTTACCGAGAAACAGCCGGTCCCTGCAACGCTTCCTCTTATCACCAAATCAAACATATTAAGAAAACGATACAAAGAAAAATAGCTGCAAAAAAGACTTAGCACTGGTTATGTTGTGGCTTTAAAACTGATTTGTTTTGTTCCCTGCTAAAACAAAGTTTATGAATTCAGTTAAACAATTGTTAAAATAGATCTGTCATTTGTGTGTTTTTAGCTTTCTTCCTGTATGGGAAGCTTTTCAAAATTTAAAACATTGGTGCAGTGGTTTATGTAAAAAAAAACCTTTGGGTTAAGTTGTCGCAAGCGGGTTTTTCTTTTGTTTCTTGTGAATTTGGTCTTAAATTTTTATTTCAAGTGGCATTAAAAAGTCTTGAATTTAACTTGCCTTATGCTGTAGGAACCCTGTATAACCAGCCCTTAAGTCTATTAGCCGTCCTGTCCTTTCCAAGATATTTCCACCACTATGCTTCATAGTAGGTATGGTTTTCTTCAGCATTCCTCTTCCTCCAAACATACAGTTTGTGCCAGAAAGCTCTTTCTTGGTCTCAATTGACCTCCTGATACTCTCCCAGTCGTCTTTTTCACACCAGCCTGTTTGCCTATAGTGGATTCACTCTTCCCAGCCTGGTGCAGGTCTGCAATTTTCTTTCAGGTGTCCTTCAGCAGCTCTTTTGTCTTGGCCAAGGTTGAGTTTGGAGTCTGACCGTTTGAGGCTGTGGACAGATGTCTTTTATACAGATAACAAACAAACAGGTGCCATTAAAAGTGATGAGTGGAGGACAGAAGAGCTTCTTAAAAAAGTTCTTACAGGTCCAAGAGGGCCAGATATCTTACTTTTTTTGTTGGTGAGCAAAACATTTTTTTGTAAACCATAATTTCTAAATAAATTCTTTAAAAACCCTACATATTATTTCCTGATTTTTTTTCTCATTTTGTCTATCATATTTAAAGTGTACCCATGATGAAAATGATCTATATATAAATTATTTTCTTTCTAGAGCTGCAGCACTTAATCGGATTAATCGTAATTAACCATCAACTAATTTAGCAATTGATTGTTAACTGAAGTATAAAGACTTTAAAACATGCCTTTAGCTGACAGAGCAACCGACTTAGAGCAATAATTATTCCAAGATTGTAAAACATAAACATTTTGCATTTAAAAAAAAAAAAAAAAACTGTCTGTTAATATGAACTCCTCAAGCGGAAAAGTTTTTGTTTTACCTGATTAAATTTCGTAAAAGGTCTTCTGTAAGGAACCTTTTGCTGTTGAATTATTAATCGAAAAAATAATCAACAGATTAATCGAGTTGCAAAATAAGCATTAGTTGCAGACCTAGTTCTTTCCACTTACGCAATATGGCCCCAACAATGCTCAGTGGAATATTCAGAAGTTTAGCTCTAACTAATGCCATCATTATGTTTTGCAATAAGGTTGCTAAGTTCCTGAGAAAGTTCTTTACTTTTACCCATCATGAATTTTTTTTCTCTGTAATACCAGAGACATCTAGGCCATTATTTGGGACAGAACTAGCTGATATTAATTTACACTGACAAGGGGCAGTATTGCTTTATAATTACTGAACGATTTTGACTGGTGTCTGGGCTTTCCATGATTTCTATTGTGTTCAATACTTTTTCTATTTCATTTGAGTACACATAATTATAATTAAAACCCTGTGATAAAACAACAGTAATGCCAAGTGCCAAAAAAAAAAAACACATTTTAAAAGTAAGAACTCAATTTTTGACATCAGTATGCAATCATTTGTGATTAAAAGAAAGTTTTTTGTGATGTGAGTCTTTCTCCAATCAACACATTCTGAGAGAAAAATGACAAATACCATCCCTGGACAGACTTGATGAGCAAATTTGTCACAACCATGTGCTTGCACTGGATTGAAGACCAGAGATTGCATCAAATGATGGCGTGCTTGTGATTAAGCTCCATGTCTTGTGCCATCTGTAATCAGCGTCTGGGCCAGATGAAAAAGCTTGCCGGCTTCGAGTGTTTATCAGCTGTTTCAGGTCCACAGCTGTCCTTTGGAAGTAGAGAGCTGCCCGTAAATAATAAATATGTGGTGCATTTGTTTGGCCTGGAGCCAGTAACATATGTCTGCATGTTTTTTTTTTTTTAAGTGAAGTGTGGTGTGTTTGTGTCAAAGGTCATTTACACCTTTGATCTGGGCTGTAAAAAAGCCGATTTTTTTAAGGGACAGATTGTTGCATTTTTTTAACTAGAGGTAGACTGTTTTTTTTAATTATTGCATCTGTGTTTTATTTTAAGTCCCAGCCATAAGATTTTGCCTCAAGAGTTTTTTTTTTTAAACAATTAGAATAAAATGAAAGGACATTCCCTGTCAGTTACGCATCAGGTGTTTATTATTAGGACATGAAAAGCAGCAAGTCCCCGCCAGATCTTTCTAGTAACACGAAATATTACCATGTTTACTCGATGCTTTGAAGTGGCATTCTGTTGAGAGGTAATGACTAATAGATTGAAAGCGTAGGTAACAGGTTAATAGGAATTCCAGCATGAAAACCGTAAAAGAGCAGTCGTTAGGCACAAAACATTTTGGTGAAGAACAGGATTTTTGACTCTAAAAGCCAGAATCACAGTATAGCAGGAATCCAGGGATATGCTAATTGCACGTATGGATGTGTTTTGTTGTGTGATTTGCTGTATAAATGGTCACCCTGAACTCTGCATCTGTTGCCGTCGCTTCCAATCAATGAAACCCTGCAATTTCACAGGATTCCGAACTGGTTTTACATGCGCAGGCAAGCTCTGTGTCTTGTTTAAGGTACAGTCCAACCATATGGTGTGTGTGAGTGTCACAGTGAGACGCTTACTAATTGAGGACCCCTGGGCCTTTAGCTGTCCAGAACTTCACACACCCACAGGCCTTAAAGTGCTGCTCTTAGCTCTGCTGTCATCCTCCCAAACACAGGGGAGTGATCTAGTTGGGAAGAAGCACTTCTAATGTAGCTGAAAGATACAGAAAAGCTGCTGGTCTTTTCAGTCTGTGGATCATTTATGCCTGGTTAACAGAAATAAGTGATTTGACATGACAAAAGTACATGAACTGTAAATCCATTTTTTTTTTTTATCACATTTTTCCTTCAACAGAGAGAGATTTTTAAAGATAAGAACTTAATTATTACCTGATGCAATATTAGAAAAGAGAACATGCAGTTTGGCTGGAAGCTTTCATCGTCTTCCAGCTGCAAAGCAAAGCCCAGCCTGTAAAAACAGACCCAGACTAATCAGGTCACAAAGAGGCTCATAGAAAGAACAGCTCATTGGTCAGCAGGATAGGGATTGTTGGGAACATGTCACAAAAAACATTAAAGTAATGTAGAACTGGTCAATTAATTGAAATTTCAATATAATTGCAATTTTAGAAAACAAATTTTTTAAATCACAGAGGTACTAATTTTTGGTCACATTACATTGATCAACAAAGAGACACTAACTGTATCACCTCACCCCTTTAGGTAGTGATAATTCTTTAGTGCAAAGGAAATAAATATAGAATCTGAATCACAACTTTAGTTAAATAAAAACAAAACTACAGGATTTTGATTGATTACACACGTGCAAATCAGCTGATGGTATGTATCGGGCTTCCAGTACAGATCGGGTAGAGACAGATGCCAACCAAACAGAGGAACAAAGACATTCCCTTCATTATAAAAGCTTGGTAATTGTATGTAGGCATGGAATGAAATTAGTCTTATTTTTTACCACATTTGATGTATTATGCTATCCTTTTTTTTATACCGTCTTTGTTACATTTATCAGCACAGATCAGGCTTTTATGCACTGTTACTTATTCTCTGTTTCCTTTGAGGTCCAACCTTTTTATGCTGATTTTGGCCATTCTCTTTTTCTTTCTAAAAAGTATAAAACATGAATTTTGTAGTAATTTAACAGTTAAACTTGACTGTCAGAGAATAAAGGTATTCTATCCTATTCTGTTCACTAGTATAAATAAAAGCCTAGAGTTAAAACGGATGTTTTTGTGTGTTACACAGCAATATTTGCTGTTTTTATTGTTGGTACATTTGATAAACAGCTGATCCAGCACAAACTCTGCCTGCTGATTGATGTGTTGCTCCCCATGTAACGTAACAACCAGCCTTTCTCATCTAACTGACATGTTTTTTTTCAGACTCCTGGAAAAGACAAACCCCAGGCCGGTCCTTCTAAAACTTTAACTCTGCCTGAAATTAAGAACAAGTTATCATCAGCAGCCAAGGAGGTAGGCCTTCTTCTTTTGCCTATTATCTCTCCTCTTTGGCTTTTTAAGTTATGACCTAGCAGATATGTCTTCTTTAGGGGAAGCCACTACCGAAGACGGAGCAGAAGTTTGAGAATTTCGTAAGGACATCTTACAAAGTCACCGACAAAAAGGTAAATAAAGGTTACCTGTGAAATCAAGCTTTCTTAATGCTCAGAATCTGAGGTCGTTCTTCTCATCATCACCACAATTATTGTTTTTGTGTCTGATATCAAACCAGCACTTTATAAATATCAATGCCTCAGCTTCATAAGCCAAGGGAAGGTTTTTGATGTCAGATTAAAAACAGATATCAGTGTTGTGTATCTATGCACAAAGTCACTTGTACACAAATCTTATTATAAGTATCATTGAGAGTGAGGCCTTTTCAAAATAAGTTCATGCTGTTTCTATGAGCTTTTATGAGATTGAATGGAGTAGAGCTGTCAAGAGAAGTTGGCTCCAACTAATATTCTGTTTTCAGTCTTAGTAGCTCTAATGAGGGGACTGGTTTTATCTGAATGCTACTATTCAAGGAGCTGTAATCTTTTTTTATGCTGTCTGTGGGATGAAAAACACAATTTCCCTGCACTTTAACTTGATTTAATCCTATAATACACTGAGTGTATAAGATTGTAATGCTGTGGCGTTGTTTAGAAAACACCTCTGCCCCTTAAACCTTTTCTGTATTTCTTCAAATTGCAACCATAGATGGCAATCTGTTGTAAGTAAGTAGCTTTTTACATCGCAAAATGCTTCACTAGAATAAAAAGAAATATAAAATAATTTATAAAAACATCTCATTAAGTAAAGGCCTGTCATTTAAAGCCTGGCTGTTTGCAGATATGGTTAAATGCACAAAGTGTTTTACTGAAATGTAACTCCTAAATACTCCTACTTGTCCACTTTCTCTTACTCGTCACTGCGTAAGAGAGATGATGTCCTCAGCAACGGTGGCTCAGGAGGTCAAGGTTCATCCTGTAACTCCTCCTCACCAGCTAAGAGGCATAGCTCCACATGCTGGGTTCCCTGGGCCCCCTCCCGGTGGAACACCAGAGATGCATGAGCCACCTCAGCTACTTCTCTCTATTTCAGATCCTGTTTTTTTCAATCCATACCCAAATATGAAGGCAATAAGGTGAGGCCGATATGCAAGCCAACAGTTAAATTCAAAGCTTAACCTTTTTGAGTCAGTTTCCTCCTCACCACTACAGACCGATGCATTGTTCATATTACAGCAGGGCCTTTTTCTTTGTTTTCGTATTTTTGAAATAACTGCAGAGTATACTCACAACTGTCACTTTTGGCCGACTTGAATAGACCCCTTTGGTCCCCACCGTCTGAGCATGTTTTAAATAAAGACCAACAAACTCTGGTATGGACCAAACAACTGGACCAAGATCCACTTTTTTAAAATGGTCTCGGTCCACCTCTAAAACAGACCTTGATCCAGTTTGCGCCAGGTAGGAACACAAACCGGCCTTGGTCCGACCCAAATGCTGAGGGTATACTTCACTTTGGACTTAGCAGGCCACCACAGTAGTAAACCTAGTATCAAATTCACACCTATTATGCTGTTGCTTAGCAACGCTACCGCAAGCAAGTGGTGGATCCCCCTCCGATGGAATGACGAATGCATGGGTTTACTGTGAGATGTAGCTAATTTTTAAAAAGGACAATTTTGAATGAAAAAAAAAATAGAACTAATGAAAAAATGCAGCCTGCTTTGAATTAATAAGGTCTGAAAGGAAATTAAAGATGAAGTCCCTGTTTAGTTTTTTCCATAAGCCAAATAAAGACATGGATAGAATATGGAATACAATGCTATGGTCATACCTTCCTTCCTGTAAAACGTGGTGGAGGCATCTTAATGATGTGGTGGCAAGCTAAGGGAAACTAGTTGGAGTTGATAATGATGATTGGAGCTAAATGCAATCCTTAAGAAATAGCCAAAAGCTTCAAGGACATTGTCTCTAAAAAGTCAGAGAATCATAAAGAATAATAATGTTTTAATGGCTTTTCAAAAGTCCATATCTAAACTGGATTGGGAATATGTGGCAACAGACACTTTCCATCCAATGGGACTGAAGAGAAAGGAAGAAGCAATTTTGGAAAACCTGTTAGATGCTTCTGTGCGGCTTTGAACACCAATCTTAAGCTCTTCAAGGCTGTTTCAGCTCACGTGTTTGATTATCACAAGGAAAGCTTTTATTCAGTGACATTTCTTTTTTATATTATGACTGGCTTGTGCCTGCGTTGGTCTGTCCTGAAACGAGATCTCAGATGTTTAGGGTTGCAACTAACTAATTTATTAATTCATAATCAGATAGCAAAATGTTCCTTAAAGAAGATTTGTTATACAGAAAAACCAGGTGAAATTGAATATTGAATTATTTTAATAAACAATTATTCATGATTTATCTGATTGTTTCAGAGTTAGTGATGTTTGAAAGGACCCGGTTGAGGCTCCTGTTTTCATTTTTACAAGGCGCTGACAGATCTATCATTGCCCAGTAGAAGCGTATCCCTCAAACCACAATTACTCATTTTGGATGCAACCAGTTTGGATTTTAACAGACCAAAATACTGACACACCAATTTAACAAGGAGAGGCATTGATCTAATCAAACAAGTTCTCATCAATAAAACTCTAATTCTGGTTAGATAAATGACTAACAGGAAACTACAAAAGACTCCACTCAGCAGAGCAACATTTCATAGTCTAAATATCTTTTCACTTAACAACAGCCCTTCAGTGTAATAATGTTTTTCCTTCCCCTTTAAGCTGCGTCAGAAATAATTTGATTATTTAAAATCCCAACAAATTGTATCCACACTGAGTAATCTGATGCGTCTGTTTTTGCCTTTTGCTTGTTTAATGCTGGTTGCTGAACCGTCTTCAAGTGGGTTACAGTCAACTGGTCAGGACAGTAACAGCTTCATCAGTTGTACTCGTACATTTGCGATCATTCGTACTCATTTGCCCCATTGAGTACAAATGTGACTACCCCTCTTAAACCGTGCTAAGATTGGTCCAAGCATGCGAACCAAGATACCTGTTGAATGTAAATGGCACGCAAACTGAACCGGACCACGGCAGACACAACCGAACCATTTTAAATCTAGTAATACGTAGTTCAACAGTACGGCTTGGTTCAGTTGAGGCTCGGTTCTCAGATAACAAAGAGCACACCGGCGGACAAGCGCTCCTTACAGTCAGCCTCTGTAATCATCAGCGTCTGTTGTTTCCTGCGTCTGTAAGCCCTGATTAGACTATCTTTTGTCGTATCTACTTCCCTGAAGCTCTGTCAAGTAAATTCAGAGAAAAGAGAGAGCAGTAGTACCGTAGATTGTCACTAGGAGGCGAGGAACCGTGCTAACGCAATGTGTAAATGATCGTAAGGAACCAAGCTCGGCACAGTTAACTGATCCAAGCTTGGTCTGAAAGCGGCACGGATCGGATTCACATGTTAGTGTAAGTGGTGCTATATTTGGGCAAAGTTGTAACTTTGTATCAGTGTTTCAAAACTTCCAATCATATTTTCTAACGGATGGAGCATTTAGTGTCTCGTGTACTAAGGAGCTGACAAAGAAACTTACAAATCTTAAAATTTTGTTACCTTTATTGATTCCTTAATTTAGGTTTATTGACATTTGCAAATTTGGACTCCTACACATATGTTTTATTGACATTCATCTTACCCCATACCGTTGTGTTTTTTTTGTTTTGTTTTGTTTTTTTGTATGTAGAATCTTGAGTTTGGCAGCTGAGGTCCTTTAGAAGTTTGAATAATTGGAAGTTAAATAAAAATGTTCTCCTTCCTGCCACCTCAAGAGCAGGAACAAATTTATTGGTTGCAATAAGCTTAAGGTTGTTGTGGGGTTTTGGGATGATGAGTTAGAGAGCCGCTCTCTTGGATACTGATCCCTCTAAACACACTGTGTAAACGCTCTGTTGTTCTCTGTGGCTGTGTCAGAATGTGAAAATCGTTGTTAAGGGAGCAGGTGGAAGCCTTTTGAGCGACGGAGGGCTGGGTGGACGAGGCAGAAAGAGGGGGTGGAGTCGGGTCTGGGAGAGCTTGTTGTTCCCAGTGTGTAGAAACATCTGTGGAAGTGCTTTGGTTTCAACAGCCAAGGCTGAGATCTGTCAGACCTGGAGCACCTAGTCATATACTCTGGTATGTAGAGCTGCCCCCACCCAAGCCCTCGTTGTTCCCCAGCATTCCCATCCAAGCATGGCGTTCCCACAGGCAAGAAGCACAAAAATCCTGTTGTTGTAGTAAATGTGATTGAATTATTTCTAATTCTTTATCTCTCCTCTCACCTTCCTCAGGTGGTCAAGGATCTTTGGAGTTTTTTGCAAACACTGAAGACTGAGAAGAAGTAACGGGAGGAATTTGTAGGTTTTCCTTTGAGACGTTTAAAGGCACAGTCTGCAATGTTTCCTACTTAGCCTCAGATAAAGACTGCAGTCTGTGGGGATTGCAGATTCTCAGTAAAGATGAAGATTATTTCCATATGTTTTGATTTTTTTTGGATTCAAAGCACCCATCAAGTTATTCTTCTGATTAATTTTTTGAAGTTTTACATAATTTATCACGTTTATTAGTTATTCTATAAATGAATAAGGCCCTGTTCCATCTGAAAACAAATGTGGCTCTTATCAGTTTTATATATTTTTAAAGTCATATTTAAGCCTCCTCCAGATGTGATTCTGAGTCAGACTCTTTTTTTTTTTTTTTTTTCATTGACTCCAGTGAGAAAAAAGCAAAGCGCATTTGATACGACTTTAACATCACCATCCATCAGTTTGTCACAACTTGACATGAGCAGCACCCAGAAGTGATAGCAGTTAGCATGGTGGACGGCAGCTGAGACTGCAACGCTCAGTGGGAGGGCAGGCAGATGTTGGGCCTCTAATAGATGGAGTGGGCCAGATTGGAAGGCACAGGTTGTACAGATTAATGTACATGCTGCAAAAAGAGGACTGCATGAGGCGGTTTCCCAGCATCTGGTAATCTGCTCCAATACATTGGATTGCAACTTATGCCTTGGCTTAAGAGTGGAGAAGAAAGATGCTAAGCACCCCCTCAGACACAATAGATGGTTTTCTTTTGATTCTTAAAACTTCTTCCATGTTTCCTGGACCTAAACATGCTTGGTGTGTCGACACCTGTTCTTGTTCTTTTACGAATGCTGGTTAGTTTGGAAACACTAACCGTGTTAAAAGTAATGTGAATAACCGTCATAAATGAGAATCAAGACATGCAGTGAGAACAAAGTCTTAGTGATGATATAAATAATAATACATAAAGGGAGCTAAGCTATATATCTGTGAAGATTCTCAGTCACCTAGGTCATAGTCAAGCTTGAAAAAGCTACGTTTAGGCAACTGGATTGAAGTTTCCTAGAAGACGTTTCTCCTCTCATCCAAGAGGCTTCTTCAGTTCTAACTAGTGGAGGGGAGCACTGAGATTAATACACTGAGAGCTAAGCTGAAGGACCCAGCAAGTATGAACCATCTACTACAATTCTGTGTAGAACAGCTTGGTTTGGGTGCTTTGGACCTCCTGACACTATGCGTCCGTCTTTAATAAAAGATGCAAAAGGAAAAATTGGACATTGTGCCTTTTAAATGCTTCATTTTCAGCTAGATTGAAATCTAAAGTAGTATTTGAACCTGTTAAAGCAAAGAAAGTTTGATCCTTTTCTGTCGTTACTCGCTGACATTTATTTTTTGTTTGTTTCTGTTCATTTTATACGCTTTTTATTGTAAAGATAATAAATAACTATGTTTGTTAGTATGCTTTCCTACAAAAATACTGTACCACCTTTTATCTGTAAAAGGTATTTGTTCAGTTAAAACAAAGCCCACCGTTTTCTTTAAAAATCCCTCTACTAACCCGAAGGGCTTCTCTTTCATCCATACCACAAAAAAATTGAAAAATTTTTTGGGAAACATAATTCAATCCAGAACTCGTAAAATCCGTACATCTGTGGTAATGTGTGCAGCTCTAAGCTAATAAAGAGCTGAAAGCTTCTTTCAGGATGTTTTCAGCAGAAACAGATTAGACATTTAGGTTTGTCCTTCAGATATTTTTTTTGTACTTTGATATTTAACCCTTAACACGTGTTTAATCAGTTGTTTCTGAATCAAACTGTGATCACAGCTGAATATCATAGATTCCAATAAAATGTCTTAGCCAATACGGCCAAGTGTTGAATCAATATCCAATAAGATATACAGCTTTAGGCCTAAGATCATATCTAATGCTACTCCAGAATATTTCTTGTCTGATTTGCAATCATTTTTCTGTACTTGCATAGTTTTCAGTTTAATATTTCTTAATAAATTTCATTCTGTCTGATTTATGTGATTTCATTTACTTTGATAACTAAACAGAAATGAGGTTCAAATGTTTCCTTGTTACTGTAAAACACTTTTTTAAAACTCCTGTTGTTTATAATCAGGGTAATCAGAATTAATCAACATTGTTTTATTCTGTAAATTGATCTCTTTTTATTTACAAATCCGGCAGCTGAACTGTTTTGTTTGCTTTCCAAAAACATACATGAAACTGCTTGTGCTCCTTATTTGAAGTCATATTGCAGTTTGGTATAAAAGTGTTTAACTTGTAAACCCTTCTTTTATGTTTTATAGCTGTCCTGTTCATTTCTAATCTTTCCCTTTTTTGTATGCCATGATTAATTTTTTGAGTGATGCTGTAATATGTTCAAATAAAGTACAAAGAGCCTCCTTCTGAAAACCTGAGTTTCATTCATCAATTTTAAAAATTCAGCCTATAAATGCAGTTTCACATTATCAAAAGTTGTTTTTTTTTACTTTCTGAGCTATATTAGAAATAAAGCATTTTTCCTCTTTGAAGCCCATTTAACATCGGAAATATCTCTCTCTCTCTCTAAAAACTTGCAAATACCCATAGTCAGAGTTTTAAATAACCAAGCTGAGTGGCAACATGGGTAAATTTTTTATCACATACAGTGGAAAGGATGGTAATTGAGGTAAAACAGGTAAAATGTTTAGTAGTGAACGACTGCTGTTTTTCAAAAAAGTAAAAAAAAAATCAACACCTTACCTTTTCAGATCTTTTTCCTTTTCTACGTTGTCCTCTAAGTGAGGCATCCCCAACCTCGGCCCTCGAGGCCCGCTGTCCTGCAGGTTTTAGAGGTTTCCCTGCTTTAGCACAGGTGACTAAAATGAGTGCACTAGACCAAAAGCCTGTTAATCAGCTTTCAATTAAAATCAGCTGTGCTGGAGCAAGGAAACCTCTAAAACCTTCAGGACAGCGGGCCTCGAGGACCAAGGTTGGGGATGCCTGCTCTAAGCGATCCTGCCAGGTGATGCTGGTCCACCATGTACATGTTTTGGACTCCATTGCCCCACAGTATTGTCTTATTTTATACAGTGACTGAGCTATTATCTGTCTAACCCTCAAATAGGTAAGCTCTGAATATCTCAAATATCTTTTGTAAAAGTTAATTCAACAAGTTTGATTTGAGGAACTTGATCAGCAATGCAGCTAAATTCTAAACATCACTGAGGATATGATGATAAGAATCTGAAGTGACAACTATGCAATTAAATCCTAAGAAGAAGGAGACAAAATTAGCTGTGTTCTGCATGTTTCCAAATTTTGTGTTTTCAGTATTCATCCTTGTTACCAATAGAAGGCGCTAAAGTCCTGGTGTTAATCATACCTTGTTATGAGTTCAATTTATATATTACCTGAACTGTGAGTCAACAATTACTTCACTCTTAGCTGAAGGCTTTTATTTCTGCCCTGTGGCCACGATGAAGTGAGCGGATGCATCCATGGCATGACGCACGACTTTATATTCCAGGCAGGAGGACTCTGAGGCAGGTGGAAATCCCCCCTCTGCGGCTGACTTGAATTCCAGTCCAGGGTTTGACTGAGCCAGCCTGGAGGTATTGGCACGCACCAAATCTCAAAGTACATACACATTACGAAAGAATGGAGAGCATGCTGCTTTAAGCCTTGTTCCTGTGAGAAATATGAATATTCACTGAATATCACCTACATGTGTTCAGTATCACATATTTTGCTTTCGCATAATTTCATGCTGCATCAGGCAAAAGATAAAATTAATTCATTCAGTTTTCTTTACTCTTCCTTTTTTACCACTTCTGCTTGTGCTAAAAGAGAAATGCATATTCCGGTGCCCATCTCATACAAGCCAGCATAAAATCACACACTTAGGGAAATATTACTCTTTAATCTGGTTGTAATATGATATGGGACGGGACTCTCAGAGGGTCTGTTCTTAGACTTCCATTGGTCCACCTGTGAGACTGGACCGAGCCAGTTTTAATTTGTTTAGGACCTGCTGGTGTAACAACATTGAGAGGCAAGGGTCTGTGGGTGCTTTTGTTCAACTTCTTTCATCTGCAAGCATGGATCATTTTGCTGAGGGGGTTTTAAGCTCACGCAAAACACGATTTGCATGTTGAAAAAAGTATGAAAATGTGAAGCTCAAGAGACAATTGTCCACATGTTCAATTGGTTCGGTTCTTAATCGAGGACAGGGAAATAACGTGTCTGGTTTCTTTTATGCTTTCCAATAATTTGAGGCATATAAAAAATGGAGCCACTCCTAGTCCCTTTGAGTGATTAAAAAAAAAAAAAAAACTTGAAACCTCTGGAAGCAAGAAGTTAAACACAGTAAACAATTATATTTGATAAACTGCTGAGAGGTCTTCATGGTTATAAGATTAAAACATCCACACATTGAGTGTTTTTACTCCTAATATAATTCCTTCACTGTTGAGGCTGTTCATTGACAACATATTACTGGTTTAACAGACTATTTGAAGGCTTTGAAGTGAAGACCCAGATCTTTAATGCTTAAAAAACCTGTTGGGGTAGATTTCTGGTAAAACAATTCCAATGTTAATTTCCCTTTCACATAAATTGCCTTCTGACCGTTTCCCTAGACTTACCTTTACACTGGTTCATCCATCCATCCATCCATCCATCCATCCATCCTTTAAGCAGGGCATGGCACAATGTTCTGTCTCAAAGGACATTGATCTGCTGGGATTTTAAGACATGTCTTGATTGGTCTAAAAAAAATTTAAGATGTTCAATAATTGGAAGTGTTGTGGACAAAAATGTCTTCTTGACATCAGAAGAATATAATTAGATTGGTTTAATATGATAGAAAGACAACACCAGCTGCAGTAACCAGCTGTTGCTAGATGTTGCAACCAAGGTATACTGAGGACCATCTCTTAACACATGGAACCTTAATTTAGGTGTGTTAAATGTGATGAAGAACACACCAAATGACCAAATGACTAGACCTCAGACTACATTTCACATAGGTGTGAGAAAATGGGGCCAAAGAGATTGGAAAATCCTTGCCTTGTCTAATGTAGCTTTGTTTAATTCCAGATGTTCAGGTAATGCCACCAAATGATGGCATTACCTGACACCAAGCCGTTGTTGCTGCAATGGTGTAAGAAATATCTTCTTAGTAATGTTTGGGCCTCCAACTACAAACTGAGCATTGCTTAAACTCTACAGCCTACGTGAATATTGTTTCTGGCCACGTCGATCCAGACGAACTGAAAAAGGTCCACATTGGTCCCAATGGGAAAAGGTGTCATCGTCACTGTTGGACAGACATGGACAATGTGGAGTCAACAAGTCATCTCCATGTCATGTATTTAATCTACCCTGCCAATTAACCAGGTGAGTCCAATCTGCACAGGTTAATTCATGGTGAAGATTGGACTCACCTGCTTCAGTGGCTGGGTAGAACAAATACATGACATGGAGATGACTTGTTGACCCCACATTGCCCATGTCTGCTGTTGGATTCCTAAATCCGCCCTAATCCCATTTTTATTTGGCCCGTTTGCAATGCATTGCAACCAAGTCATTTGTCGATTTTCTCCCAGCTAAAACAAATAGCCACCATTACTGTATTTTATGTGAAAATACAGAATTTTAAAGAACATATTTGCATTTATATATATGAAAACATACATGCGTATTTTAAATAACCTTTATAATAATAAGTTGTCTACCTTGTCTTACCTTTATCCAGTAAAGGGCCACGGGTGCAGCAGTCTCAGCAGAGACTCCCAGACTTCCTCTCCCCAGTACCTCCTCCAGCTCCACTGAGGGAAGCTTGAGGGACTACCATATCAACCAAGAGATGTGGTCCCTTTAGCGTGTCCTAGGTCGTCACCTGGGCCTCCTCAAGGTAGAACATGACTTGGAACACCTCCTGTCCAGGACGCATCCAAAA